CAAATATATATATATAATATATATATATATATATATTATATATATATATTAATTATTGCAAATTACGAAATACCTGTTCAAGTCCCCGAAATCCTGCTCATATATCTCGTCTCGTCGAATGAACCCGTAAAATCTGCCCGAAATCCCGACCGATCCTGTGCATTCGCGCAACTCCGTCCCGGGTGATTCCTGATCGTTGCACAGAGCCCACTCGATCGCCTCCTCCATTGCTTACCTATCGCGCTCTAAAGTAGGTGAGGACGAGTTCAGCCTCGGGCGACACCCACGCCCTCCTCTCTTCCACGATCGCAAGCAAGCTCGCACTCTCTTCCTCTCCGACCTCCCACAAGGCCTCCGACTGTCCCTCTTCCAATGCCCTCCCCTCGTCCACCGTCCGGTCCTCCTGTCCATGAGAGAGAGAGTGAGAGCTGTATTATCCTAGCCTTACCACGAAGCCATTCTCCCTCCTTCGCACCGCGGCTCCACATTCGTCCGACATAGGAAGTTCACACAATTTTGATCCGGGAAGGGGTTTATATAAAATAATTACATTCATTAAATATTATTATGATAAATATTTAATTATATTTAACTATCTATTTAAATAATGATTATTTTACATTAAAACTAAAACTTAATTAATTTTAGTAATATTATTATAGGTATTATTCATTATTAATACTATTAATATAATTACCTTAAAATAATTAAACAACTTACTTATTAAATTTGATATTAATTATTTAAGGTTGATTATAATCGATCGACTATAATTACCAATTCGCTTAATTTATATAGTTTAAATTTAATTAGTTCGCACAGTCTAATTTATTTTACCTCTCATACAATTGATAACTTCAATTATGAAATAGAGCAAATGGCAAATGGCTACTCTCGTCTCCCGTCGAATGCCTCGAGCAACACCACGAACCCTCCCGAAGGACCAGTGACTTTTTTAAACTTCAGAGTTCTCGGCTGTCTGTGTGCGGCAGCTGAACCGCGATACAAAGCCGCACTATACACGCCTTCTAGTTGCGCGTAGATGGGTAGGATGGGATTACCCGGATCCCGAACGCCTCGTAGCCGGGTCAAGCGCGTGGTAATCACTCAAACTCTATTTCCGGACGCTTCAATGAGCAAAATTCACTCGGAAATACTCGCCTATCACAACGCCTTTTTGCTCGTGGTGAGCGTATGGGAGTACCCGAGTGGCGGCATCCACTCACAAGAAGAGGCTGGCGCTACCACAGGGGATCTGTTGAAAGCAACATCACCCGTACGATCACTTCTAATAAGTCCCCAATCTCACTGACTCCCAGGCGAAGCGGCGAATAGCAACATTGTCTTTAAACAGCCAGACTACCACGCCCGGTACCCGTTTCCTAATGAATGACCCCAGCTACCGCCTTTTACTTGCGCCACGTTATATATAATATAACAGAGGTCAACAGTACTTGATTGTGGATAACTTCTACGAGTGATCAAATTTCAGGACATGAGATGGTCTCGGTGAGTTATTTGGAAGAGCTCCCTGAAAATGACTGCACCCTTAATTTATCCTCGCATAATTAGTTTGTACGTTGTCATCTTCGCAGTGAAGAGTGTGTGGTCATGCTTCGTTTAGGTGACTTTGGCTTTGACTACGTGATCCCCTTGATTGAGTTCTTTGATGGAAACTTGTTAGATACATACCAGCTACCTAAACAGTCACCATATTTATGAGGGTTAATTTATATTAAAATTATACTTAAAATATTTGGATAATATAAAAGATGACATGCTGTCGTGGTTAGGAAATCAACATTTGTGACGGCTATAGCTGTTTGTGAAGCTGTTGTTAGGCAAACAAATGTTCTTAAAGGTATTAAGGTTATTATATATATTTTAAAAAAGTTCATATAACATATTTCTTACAACTACCACATATTAGTAGATCTCATTATAAAAAATATGTTTCTACCACAATTTTTTTCTGTAAGCAATAATAAAGTGGAACCTAAATAGAGTGTGGTAGTTGTTCAAAAATGATAAAGTGAAACATTTGCCCCAAATTGACCTTCACTCAATTATTGAAAATTAATCTGAATTTATGGTTAAAATTGAGCCTATTTGATGAAAATGAAATCTATCATTGAATGTGAATCTATCGTTTAATTGTCAGTCAACATGATCTAATCATGCCAACTAAAATTTATAAATCAATTGAATAATCTAATAATAAATTTTGATAAAATTGCATTATAAATCAAATTTTGGAGAAATTCAAAATAACTCATAATCCTCTTTCGAAATGCCAAGAATTCTTTATAGGAAATAAGATTGTCAAGTTCCTCTTATGAGAGATTATTATCCGAAGCTTAAATAGAAGTCATGAGCCGTATTATACGCTTTTGTGATATGAATAACACATCTTATGTGTGAACCTTTTAGGTAGACACTCTTGGAATCAAAAAAGAAATCTCTAAACATTGATCTTTGACTCGAAAAAAAGGAAGATTTACACACATACTACTAAAAACTTCTCTATTTATAATCTTGCATTAAATAAGCTCATTTTAAAGGGACAATTTATTATTGTTTTCGATTTTCCTCTGTTAACCTTTTTGTGTTAATTTATTTATTTATCATCTAATGATCAGTGATAAGAAATTTTTTATTTTCCTGTTTTCTCATTTATCCAGTTCATGAAAACATTCTGATAACGCAATCCAGTAAGACAGTAAGGCTTAATGATATCTTCATATTGGGGAAAATATGAATTAAACTCGGTGAAACTTTAACAATCAGTCAAGATGAAATTCAACTACTTCCGATTAGTTCCAGAAAACTTGCTTCATCCTGAAATAGCTCGTTTGCTGACCTGAACCACTGGAATTTGTCGGTAATTAGGTGGATTTCATTTGAATCAGCTCATTTTAGGCCACATACTTGGCTTGCTTCCCTTACAACTGGCAAACTGGTAAAAGTTGTTGCAAGGCTATATTTTACTTGGGAAAGATATTCTGTTAGAGTAGTTTGCATTACATATTAAGCCTGGTTTCAACTGTGGCTCTGTGTTGAGCCTACCTAATCGATTTCAATTTGATTTAAGCTAATTTAGTTGCTACACATCTATACACATCTATGAGTAGTACGTAGTTTAATATACTACCAATGATTGTCATTTTGCACAGCATTGAGAGGATTATTGAGCGTTACGAGAGATACAGCTATGCTGAAAAAGCTCATTTGATGAATGATTCCGAGCCCCAGGTTTGGATTAAAATCTTCAGGAATATTATCAGCCTGATTTTTTTTTTTTTTTGTGCTTATGCACAGTCCTAACATTTTAGATGGGAAAAGCTCAAAAATCATTATCCTTTTTTGGCAAAACCACTAATCACCGGGCTAAATATCTTTATAACTTAAATCTTCTTCGCTTCCTTCTTGTAGGATGACTTGTGTCAAGATTATGGATATCTTAAGGGTAAAGTTGATGCCTTACAGAGAAGCCGAAGGTAAGAAGACGTTTTTAGTTGGGACAACAGTGAAATATATGCAGAGAGCTTTTTTTAACATGCGGCCCTTCCTAATATTATTTTAGCCATCTCATGGGTGAGAAGCTTGACAATTTAAGCATAAAAGAGCTTCAACAACTGGAGCATCAACTGGAAACTGCTTTGAAACATATAAGGTCCCAAACGGTAATTCATTCATGCATTCAAATAATAACGTAAATTTGGATGTCCATTTGTAGATTAATCATAGGCACCTTAACGTATTCTTCTAATGCAGAATCAACAACTACTTCATTCCATAGATGTGCTTCAAAGAAAGGTATCTACTTCATAAGTTTTCTTTCCTCTTCATCCCTCGAACAATATCTGCTTTAAATTTAACCTTCTCCCTAGTTTGTTTGATTATCAACCCTTGAAAGCATATTTAAATCTAACACGAGCGTGCAACATGATGATCTGGCATGATTCAATTTTTTTCAAAAGACTGATTTTGATCAATTTTTATATTAATATATAACTGTGGCTTGAGATTTTTCTCATAAATAATCTTGACTCTTCATTTAAAAAAATTCTTAACCTTTAGTTTTTAAATTTAAAATAAATCTCCACCATCTCATTTCATGTATGTTGAAATCCTGCTTCATTTTTTAGCCACTTCGCGCCACCTTCAGATCGAATATTTGAGATGAATGTGATAAATATAATACTTCATGGAGAGGTTGCCCTAACCTAATAAATAATCTATCCTTGAAAGTTAGTAAATAATTTATCCAAAGGTTTTTCCGGACTTGAGCATTCAAATTATTTTGTATTGATTTTCCTCTTCATGTATTATAAAACTGATCCACGGATATACTATTACTAGGACACCTTGTCACCTGAAGCACTAAAATACTTGTAAAAATGGGAACCCTTAAGCGGAAGGAAACGCAACTACCATGTTATAGATTTATGCTTTGGAATTAATCCAAATCACTATTCCAAAAATTACTTGCATTAAGAGAGCAGTAATGAAGCCAGCTGTTTGATCCATGCAGGAAAAGTCACTGCTGGAGCAAAAGATTGTTCTTGAGAAAAAGGTATATGCTGTTCCTATCAATGGACTATTAAATTACATCTGAGAGGTGGTCGCTGTTACATAATCTATGGAACCGTTCTCTAATTGTTGCTCAGGTCATTGAGAGTGAGAATTCCATAAAGATGTTGCAACAAATGCAAGCGAGTGAGCTTAGCCATGCCGAAGCCAGCCACTCATCGCCACCAACTTTGGAGGCAACAAACTCCCTTCCCACCATGAACATTGGGTAACTACTTTCTCACACAATCAAAATTACAAATCTAAAACAAATTTGCACAATTCATGGATGCATGCGGACCATCAAAATGAAAATTAAGATGGTAAAGATTGCACTGAAATTAGTTTTCACCGGTTTTTAGTATTTATAAGTTTCGTTTGGTTATCAGGTACTTTTGTAAAAGGTAGTTTTAAGAAACATCGGTTTAGAGAAAGGAGTTTTCTAACGGAGAAACATATATAAAAAGTTTTCTTAAATCAGCAGAAAAAATGGGAACATGGGTTGAGGAACAAAATAGTAAATTTACGATTTTAAAAAGGAATAAGCAACAAAAAACGCCCAATCAAACTAGGCCTATGAACTTTATTTCGAATGAGCAATTTTGAGCTTCTTGATTTCAATTTTGAAGTTGTGAAGGGTAAAAGCGTTTGCATCCCTTCCTTTTTCCTTCAAACCAAGCACACCCATTTCTCTGTTGGAATGCAGGACAGTGGACATACGTGGCCTGCAGTGTTGTTGGCCAAGATGAGCCACTTTTGTTCGGATGAAAATTGTCCGCCTGCCTCTGTGGAAGATTTTTGCCTTCAAATAAACATAATATAACCCATACTTTGTTTGGTGTATGGGGCCTAAAATAAGGGCTCGAGTACAAAGACATGTTATATTGTGCTAATTGCTCGTGTAAATGTTCTGATGCATGTTCACGAATAAAATGGCAAGCTCTTTGCCTCTCGTGGGTATTTAAAACCCAAGAGATCTTTAGGAGTTCTTATAGTTTCTTAATTTAGGACTTTTAATTTTTATAGAATAAAATTAGATTATTTATTTTGATTTTTCTATTCAATGTTTTTTTATAATAAATCTTTTGTGAGTTAACATGCAAGCGTTAATTACATAAAGTTGATTTTTTGGTATGTAAGAATTTTCTTAGAGCATATATATGCATTGTATGGTATGAAGAAAAACTGCCTGAGCAGTTTCAATTTTGAAGTAAGGGAAATTTTTTTTTTTTTAATTCTTGTAAGACATGTTGCATATTGGAGACTTATGTGACTTAATGGCTAAGTGCAAATATTAGGTATAATCGTTCTCGTCTTTATTGGTATTCAAGAGGTAGTTGACAGGTCGTGATAAAAGAGTTCATATCTTGTATCCTCAAATAATGGTCCGCTCAAAGGTCATGAAATTTTGCTCCACAAATGACCCAGTAGTGAGTTGCCTTCTGAATAGATGGTCTGAATTCCTCACAGGCATCTTACCCCCTCAAGTAGAACTCATTGACAATATTGCTTGCCATTCATCACCATATCTTTGATGTCACTTGCTACTTAAATTATAGGGAAGGCGCCTACTTCAGAGGCCATCAGCTCGCCCTACCACAATCAATTGGCTATGTAGCATATGCATCTTGTAATTGAAGTTCACTCGCCTCTTTTTGCATGACAACATACGGCTACAAAACATGTTGTTAGTGAATCCATGGTAGGGGTGCGAGTTAGTCAAACTGACTTGAGAGCTCGAGCTTAGCTTGATATAAATCCTCTATGGAAGATTTATGAATAGCATGTTTTTATCAAAATATAAAATTTTATCTCCTAAAATTTTTTATTTTTTCTTGCCTTGGTATTAGGAACAAAAACTTGCTTTAATGGAATGCAAGAAGTGGTAGGGATTTATAATGGCCCGATTTAGAGAATTTTGTCCACTTTAAGGTTAATAAAGAGGGAAATTATACTGTAACACTATCTTAGTTCAAAATGATATTGTTCTACTTTTCAGGCGCTTTCTTTAAAAGTGTGAAAAGGAGAAAAAAGATTAATACATTAAGGCAAAGTTACATATAAGATGATAAGGGCTGTCAAATTAAACACAATAGGTGGGAAGATGAAAAAGAAGAAAGAAAATGATGCCGGTAGCTCCTGCAAGAAAGGTTAAAACAGAGGAACAAGCAAGATAAAGAACAACATTGAAAATCGACTTTTTTTATATAATGAAATTCATGCAATAAATTTTTTTTTTTTTTAATTAGCAACAGGATTTCTGACGGATTTTTGGTGAAATTTTAGTCGGAAAAATTTCCAACATAACTTTTTTTTGGCTTGTGATTATTTTTCGACATGTGTTTTATCTATGAAAATCGACTATTTTTATATAATGAAATTCGATAAAGAAATAAGTAGCTAAGCTTTACTAGCGGTGTTCGCAATATTCTTAATCTTGAAGTTGTTAAGCTTGATAAACTATTTCATAAGTCATCCAAAAACTTTGATTTTTGTAATAGCTAGGAGGCTAGAGTCTAGGTAACAATTTTTATGTCATGAGATTGACAGAAAAGGTTTGATCTTCTTATAATTTTGATGAAGCCAAGGGCAAATTTATTTACTTTGGGTAGTTGAGCTGAGCTCCACCAAGGATTTTGCTATAGTAATTGAAAAGGTGATGACTTTTGCCCTTTTTTTTTAAACCAGAGTTAAAAGAGCAATAGTATATTCACTCCCTTATTCAAGAATAGATATTCACCTTGTCTTGTATAGTTAAGGATTATAGTGATAATATGACGAGCCTTTCATTGTTGGATTAAGCTCTTTCAATCATCATCATAGCTGGAATTTTGAAGGTCCTAAATAGTGGGGCCTTATTTTTGCTATAATAAAGATACATCTACAAGCTCTTATAATGTCTTAGATGCATATAATGACCCGGTTAGGAAATTAGATGTATTAGATTTGACTTGTCTTAAGAAAGATAGGGGTAGACCTAAAAAGACTTGGTTAGAAAATATTAGAGATAACCTTTCTTTATTAGATTTAAATGAGAATTTAATTTTTAAAATAACACAATGGAGAAAAATGATTCATATAGCTGACCCCACAATGGAATAAAGACTTGATGTTGTTATTGTTGTCATCATCATCTGAACTTTTTTAATTAGATACCTAATACATTGTTTGATATGACATCTTTATTTAAAATGATTGATGCATCACTATCTTGTAAGATCCATATATATGACATAACCTCAAATCCTTGACTTAAGTATTCTAAACTTAAGAACATACATGTTGTGATATCAAATCTCTAATCATATTTAACAAATAAATTAGATATTAGTAATGAGCCACCATCCCTATATAATATACAATGGCTTGGATATTATTCATAAACCCTAAATCCTAAATAAATAAAGTCTTGAATGTGGCTCATATTAATGATTATTTAATTAATCATTTAATAATTAATTAAATGCTTAAATCCTTTTGGTCGAGAGAGAATTTTGATCAATCGTTTGTTGTTTGTTTGATTAAATGAAGCATCTCTTCATGACATAAAAACAACTACCAGTCCTTTAATTTCATACCTCTTAAGAAAAAGGAGTTATTATTTTTCTATATAAATAATTAACATAATAGAAAAGAAAGTAGGGTGAAGAAAGAGATGTAAGAAATTAAATATGTGAAATAAATTTATTTGAAAAATATGAAAATTTTAAAGTAGAACGCTTTGGCACTGATCTCGTGAGCTCTGCAACGTTAGACTATAAATAGTGTATCATTGCCTCACCATACCACCTCCTTCACTTCTAGTAAGAATTAAAAGAGTGGAATAAGAGTGAAGAGAGAAGAGAGGTCTTTGGATCATATTTATCAACCATTCTTATTACAGATTTTATTCGATATGTTGTGACTAATATCTTACTTCTATTTTTGATGATTTTAATTTTTATGAATTTTATCTTTCCTAAATCTGTCAAAAATACATTATCTTCTGATTTCATAATCATTGACCATGCAAGTTTGTATATGTTATAGATTTGATCATTCTGAATGATTTGATATAATTTTATTGTATTTTAAATAAAGTACCTAATGATATCATATACATGATATGATAACTCCACATGATACCCTATTGATCCATGTGATTCACAAAGTGAGAGTTATAAAGAGTTGGAGATTGATTGGGAGCTATAAGGAGTCGGGGTGACTAATTCATGTGATTCAAGAGAATTTATAATGAGTACATTAATTAGAAGTTATAAGGGGTAATAGATTTGGAGTCATAAGTGCAGTAGCAAGATACTCTTACGATACACATTAAATATCTGAATACTGATGCTGACATTGCTACGAACACTGTACAGATATTATGATTAACACTAATAATATTTATTGTTATTAATAATATTTAACATTATTGATCATGATATTAATATTGTTTCTAACACTATTATTATTGATTGTTACTGATATTACGACTGATCACATTTTTACTATTGATACTGTGCATTTAGGAAAGGATTCTTTGATTTCTCTTAATATACCTCCTTCTCAAGTTGTTTGTATTAACAATATTGTCGATGCCTATCTAATCTCTCCCTTTGGTGCTAATTCTTCAAAAAATTTGGATTGTTATGGTGGTCAAATATATAACATAAATTTTATTTCTGAATTTTATGGTAATGATTTAATTTCTTCACCGGTTGATAAGGTTTTTCAATATGACGGTTGTGATGCTGTGGGTAATATCGTGGCTTTTAATTCTAATCCTATCTTAGATTTTGATTTTTCTTTTGATGGGCTGGATGTCTTTGATAGCGTCCCTATTATTGATTTACATGTTTGTTCTGTGTCGTGTGTTGCGCACATTAACTTGGATGCGGATTGTATAAGGATTTGCACTCTGTTGACCCTATTGATCACTCCGTTTGGATTGAGAAATTCTCGGGTAATAAGCATTGTGATGGGGACATTTATGGTGGCTATTCTAATGTGTCTCTAGATTATTTGGATATGAATGTGATGAATGTTAATAAAGTTGGCTTCTCTACAATGTTAGGGAAGAAAAATAGGAAAAAGAAAGCAAAAAAATGTTGAATTGTGCTTTTTATTCTCTGTTGGTTGTTCTTGTTTTATGTTTGTTGGTTTGTAGGTTTCTCTGTGGCTGTTGGTTTCTTTTCTACTAGCTTTGTGTTTTGTTGTCCTAGGCCTAGGGGTCTTCTTTGGTGTTGGTCTTAGTTGGCTCTGTTGTGTTTCTGGTCTTGGTCCTGGTGGTTGGTCTTGCTGGGTTATGGTTTGTGTTCCATGGTTTTGATTGTTTGTGGTTGGCTTTGGTTGCTATTGTAGTTCGGTGGGGTTTCATTCCCTTGGCCGTTTATTTTTCTGTTTTGTTTTTTCACTCTTCTCCTAGATTTTCTCTAGGTTTTGTTGTATGTTGGCTATTTGGTGCCTTATGTTTGATTGGTCTGCTTTTGAGCTCCTCTATTGTGAGTGCTCTTCGGCTCTGTGTGGTGTTGGTTTTTTCTACAATGGCTGCCTTCCAACTCTCGTGCCCTCTTTGAAGTTCTTGCTGGTTTATTTTTTTCTTTTGCTTTATGTAATAGTTAGGATCATTGGCTCAATTGGCTTTACTTTGAATGCTATATTTTTAGAGAGCTTTTGATCCTCTAAGGACATGTAACATTTTTTTTTATATTAACGTATAAACCACTTCTATGAGCTTCAACCAAAAAAAAAAAAAAAAGATAAATCTATGTTGAATCAAGGTATGTTGTCATACCTTTTTTTCGCCCTAGCCGCTCTGCTAGGGTTCGTGGCTCCGGGCGCCTTCGCCCGTTCGGCGGGAGCTTTCTCTCCGGCGGCCTTCGTTTTCCAGGGGAGTCCTTACTTCTCTACTTTTGTATTTTAGCGTGGCTATCTATTTTTTCTGGTTCCTTCGATTTTTTGGCCGGCTGCGCCGGCATGGCGGCGGTGAAGCTTCGAGACCCCGGTTTTTTTGGTGGGGTTTCCCATTCGCGTTATTTTATTGAAGCGCTTGCTGGTTCTAAACCTTCATTTCCG